AATTTCAACTTTACCCAGCGCAACGCGAATGAGTTCGAACTTTTATTGTTTATAACACCACAAACGGTAGATTTTATAAAAAAATCTTTGTTATTTTCGAATTAAGCATGTACATTTACACCTAAAATGGAACTATTCCGGTAATTTTTATTACAAACTAAGCGCGGGGCTTGACCTGCAAATTAAACCTCGGATTAAAATTTGCTTTGTCACCCTTTTAAAGTACTGCGTCATTAAAGTACTGGAATCGTTTTCTCGGGTAAAAAATGTTTATGGAGTATTTTATATAAAGATGAACCTCTATAATTCCATATCATAAGGGATTCCGCTGACGCTTGCATCTCTGTCACTTTTTAGTTTATCGATTGCATGTGTATATTTTTTCCTGTTGTGCAGATGCTATATCTGGTTCTAGCTTCGGGGTTAGGTGTGAGATTGCTGTCATTTGTACATTCCTGAACAACAAGATCGTCGCTGAGCAACATGTGCAAATAATTCACACTAACAGCTGAAGATAGACTATGTAGCCGAACAGCATAGCATCGTTTGCGCTGTCTTGGAAAGCATGAACTTGAGCCCCCCCCCTTCTCTCTCTCTCTCTGTATATATATATATATATATATATATATATATATATATATATATATATATATATATATATATATAATAAAAGGCTTAAACACTAATATTCCATGGTCATAATTTATTCCATTAAAATCCTAAATACAGATCAATTCACCAGACCTACAAATTTGGAGGTCTGATGAGATGGATCGTATTATTCAATGGAATAAATTAATGACCATGGAATATTATTGTTTAAGCCTTTTATTATATCCTTACACGGTCCTGGACATTGAGTTCTACCTGGATTCTATCCTCTTGGATTTTTTTTTTTATACAAAATATATATATATGTGTATGCATGTATGTATATATATTTATATATTTTGCATATGTATGTATATTTACCACTAATATTATCTATCTATCTATCTATCTATCTATCTATATATATATATATATATATATATATATATATATATATGCGAAGTTCGGACCATTACATAAGTTTCTCGCTACAGCGATCGTCAGCCGATCAATTTGGCCGCCTGACGTTCGTGGTAGCGTGAAACTTAAGGAGTGTTGCAAATTGTTTCTCTTTCTGAGTCGTTATGCAAGGAAGCGCAATTGCTCTGCCCCAGAAACCGATGCATAGAGCATTTTTTCTTACTCCATAGCTAGGCGTCTGTCTTTTGCCATCCTTTGCTTTTCGTTTGCGTTTCATTTTCCTATTTTCTTATATTGTTTATTTTTCTTGGTTTTTGCGTTTTTCGTAAATGATTTGGTTTTAAATAAGTTTTCCTTTGCTTGCTTTGCAGGTTTTTTACTCGTTGCACCAACACTTTGGCTATATATATATATATATATATATATATATATATATGATGTAAATTTATGTTTTTGTTATGTACCGTACCCATGAACACTAATGGGTATGTCCCAATCCTCATACATACGCTGGACACTATTGTAGGTCCACCACTAGCAGTGGTTTACCTACTTCACGCTGCTGGCGAGTATTGTATTTTGTTGATGTTATAAAGATTACATTTTCATTTCCAACCACCTTTTTGTTATTCCGCATTCAGTAAACTTTTCTAGATTACACCACTTTTTATATATATATATATATATATATATATATATATATATATATGAATTTACATGTTTTATATATTATATATATCGAGTGTAACAGCAAACTTCTCAAAATCGTATAACAGCAACATTTTCTAATTGTTAGATTAAGGTTTGAACTGTTGCATCTTAGAAATGATTAAAGATATATTATTGGAATTCTCTGATGTTTTTATAACACTATTGGACTCTACTTTGAAAAATAAGAATGTATTTAGCTCTAAGTTGAAATGACGATATTTCTGTTGTGACCTAATAATCCAGTTTTCCTCTCTAGTATTCCCTCTTTTTTAAACTTATTCACTTTTCCTCTCTAGTATTCCCTCTTTTTTAAACTTATTCACCGTTCTTTTGATAGTTCTTGAATGGACTTTGAAGATGGAATCCCGAGTATGAATAATGGTACTATTACTGAAGACCTGAATGATTTTTCGTCACACCATTGCTCACTTGAGATGACTGTGTGTCTGACTCAAGACGATTTTAACCTGTTCTCTTTTTAGCTTAATAACTTGACGTGCTTTTCAGTGATTTTACGACAAATGACATCAAGACGGATAAAAGTCTTATCTGAAAAATCGGAAAAATGAAACTCAATTGGTTAGTATTTTTTAGATATTAAACATTTTGTGGTTGGACAATCATGATGCACATGATTTGGACAATTTTGCTCTTACACCCGATATACTTCTGTATTTTTTATTGCTTTCTGTTATCAATCTGAACATAAATATCGCAGTCTTTATTTCCGTGGGTTTAACGAACCCGCACTGCTCTTGTCCTATTTCTAGTTTAATTCTAATATGCTTTGTATTAATCAAAGTTCTGATTATAAGTTTCGTTACGTGGCTCATTAATCTAATTGTCTCGTGGAGTTTGCATTCATTTGTTTCTGGCAGCGCTACGAACATGGATCATCTAAGGCCTTCCGTTATATCACCACTGTTGTATAATTAATTTATTGCTTCCGTTATGTTGTCAATAGTGAAATCCTTTAATACTGCGCCCATTTCGTCCTGCTGCTTTGCTACTAAACATTATGACCCTTGTTGATATTACTTCAGACTTTATTACTCCAGATCATTCCATAATTTTTTTTGTTTATTACGACTTTCCTTCTTCCGTTGTGTTTATGAGTCAAGTAAACACGATCATTATTGTACGGCTGAGAACAAAATAACTGACATATTAATTTCATTTCTTAAGTAGTGTTTTCTTTCTATATTATCAGCGTTCCTTTTTTATTGTCTACATCCTAAGGATGAACTCTTTATTGTCCTGTTATGCCTCTTATTCTTTCATGTCTATCTGCCATATCTATTATTCTCGTTCTTTATAATTTTGCGTACATTTCATTTCGCCATTTCTTGCGTCTGCTTGAACTTGTTTTTCATTTATTTCTATATAACGTATCATATTCTCTACCATGTCTTGAAATTGTTTGCTGTTTCTTTTTTCATCATGCCGTGATAACTATTACTCTTTTTTCATTGTCTACTTTTTCTAGAGATGATCTAGTTTTCAGATATCAATATGATTTATCTTAACGTGTACCGTTTTCAAATTCCTGAAATGATGAAAAACCTAAATTGTTTCCTCTCACCATTGCTCAGTTGGGAAGACACAGCGAGACTGACAGAAAATGATTTTAACCTGAGCTCTTTCTAGTTAAATAAATCAAAGTTTTTTTTTTAATGATTCTAATGACAAATGGTGTAAAGATGGGTAAACGGCTTATCTGAAAACATGGGAAAAATCCAATTAGTTTAGTGCTTTTCAGATATGAAACCTTTTGTGGGATGGACAATTATCGCATGCTTTTACATGATTTGGAAGATTTTGTTGTTACACCCAGTATATGTATGTAGGGAAAAAAACGTAAATTTTCATTTTAAGGAAGGGTTTTATCTAATTTTACACCCAAGATTTTCTTAGAATTTCGCACCAAAATACATTTTTATCGATCCGTAGAAAACAACAATAATTGAAGAAACAATTATATCAAATTAGTAAACAATTCAAATAAAAGTACCAATGAATCAGATAACCATATATATATATATATATATATATATATATACATATATATATATATATATATATATATATATATATATATATATATATATATATATATATATATATATATATATATATATATATATATATATATATATATATATATATATATATATATATATATTTGATTTTTAGTTGTCTCAATATATTGAATCATACAAAGTTGGGACTATTACTTTTTTTAGATCATGTGACTTTGGCGAATGAAGATCTGTGATTAATAATGAAAAAGTACACACTAGCTGATGCAGACCCTAGTTTATATATATATATATATATATATATATATATATATATATATGTGTGTGTGTGTGTGTGTGTATGTGTGTATGTATGCCGCGCCTGTCTAAATGGCCTATCGATGGAGCATGGAAGCCATATAAGCTAACTTCGCACAATATAACGTCTTT